TCCTGCTGGTACTGGGAATCAAACCCACAACCTTCTGGTTAGAAACCCTTATGACTCTCTAACCATTAGGCCACAACTGCACAAATCAATAAATACATCAATTTTACTTTATAAATACAATTTAACAATCTAATGATATAATATTTAATTTTATCAGAGTTGTATGTTTGCTGGCACCAAAACAATAGCAGGGTTGGAATGAATTAACAATCTTAGTTAGGGTGACGGTCTACTCTTAAAAATAAAGGTCCCAAAAAGGGGCAGTGATGTCAGAAGAACCAATCTGGGTCTCCCTGAAGAACCTATAAGTAAACAGTTCTTAAAAGAACCATATTTTCTTAGCCGAAGAACATTTTAATAATCTAAAGAACATTTCTTTCCCACCTTTTGTGCCATGGAAAAGTTTCAGGGATGTTAAAGGTTCTTTGTGGAACCATAAATGCTAATAAAGAACTTTTATTTTTAAGAGTGTCACAAACTAGAACAGCCAAACACAACAACAACTTTCTATTTTACATAACGGAGTCAAAAATGTAGAACAGGGATTCATTTACATGAATTTCCAGTGCTGAGGGCCATAGATGATTAACTGATTCACTAGTCTAATAGTCATTTGTGGATGGTAAGGGGCTTATTTCCACATAAAATTCAAGAACACTGTGACAAGTTCTTCTCTACAATTTTTTTTTTGTTAATTTCCAGAAGCTCTTCTTAACTGCACACTCTGACCTTTACTTTTTCAAGCAGTCCCAAATTAAAAGTTTTATATTCCATTACTAAAATACAGGATAATATCTTTACTTAATATAGTAATATTCACTCATCAAAAAAAATAATATTTTTTTATATTTAGCTCTTTATACTTTCAACTCTTATGTTAGAATGAATCCATCTCTTCAATGTCACGAATGAGAGAAAGAGAGATGACCATATATATGTAGGTGTGTCTATTTGATTATTCCCTCAGCTGAGACATTATTAAAAAAAAAGTGATGTACAGTAGTTTTTTGTCTACTTGTTAGGAAATGTAGTTTGTTATGGTCAGAACTGAAGAGGAAGCAGTGACAAATCTCTTTTTTTTTCATTTTGTGACGTACATATGAGTGTAACATTTTATCAAAAAAGAAAAAATGTAGGGCAAGGACTTCTGGTTGTTGGCTGTTGACTGGATTTTAGGATGTGGTCATTGCACTCAAAAGTAAAGGCAGATGAATGTGAGGTTACAAACGTAGTTTTAAGTGGACTAAATAACTGGGGAAATCTATTTTCTAACCATGCATTACATTTTCATTGAATTTTCATTAAATACAGCTACTGAAAAATTAGTAGAGTGGCTACTTTTAGTATACAAGACCGGTGTTGTGGCTGTGTACAGTAATTCTCCCAGGTATTCAGTACCGTTGTTGTTCATTCTAATAAACAATGCATCTGATATTAATAGACCTGAGCTCATTCTTCCACTGGGTCATTAAACCAAGTGGAATGTGATTGCAGGAAAGGTGTGTGTAAAAATAGAAAACACACCTCAACGTCTATGTGTATCTGTGCAAAAATACCTGTTGTAAATGTTGTAGATCCAGTCCAGCAGTGAGTATGTGTCTGTGATCTGAATGGGTCCACTAGTGATGGTCTTCAGTCGTTTGGCAACAGCCCTGTGATAACTCTGCATGTAGACCTGAAACACACCAAACTCCTCGGGATAAACCGCCACCACATTCCGACGTGCCGCATCCATATCCTCCACCACTCTGGCCCTCAATCGCTCCAAATACATGCCCATCTGTCCTGCAGCGATGCCCCCTGGTTGTGGAAGACACCAGTCAGCTGCCTCTCCCACAGCCTCCACCCACCTTTGACGCAGTCTCCTGGGACGCTTGGAAGGCCGGGAATGGTCTTCGGATTGGTCACCAGTTTGGACGTTGGACTGGGCCTCTTGCCGCAGGGCCCAGACCTTGTCAGCCTGCTCTTCCTGTTGAATGACCAGCACCACTAGGCCAAGCTGAGGCCCGCTGCAGGGTTGACGTAGCGACTCCCTCACCACATCCCACATCTCTCTCTGAAGAGCCTCGTAAAGCAGCTCAACATCTTTCACTTTGCGCAGCCCAGCATCCCACATGCTTGGGCCAGAATCCTTACTACTTGAACCAACCAACAGGGGGAGCCAGGGAGACGACATGAGTGTGGGAGGAGTTATGTTACTGGGTGTGGTTGAAGTGGGTGTGGTTTGTGTCAAGAAGGAGGGGTCAAGTTCACACTCCCTCTCAAGCTCCTGGATGTGCGTGTCGGCAAGCAGTAGGTCTCTCTGATTAACTAACTGTAAGATCTCCAACACTGTGAGAGAAAGTGAGAGATTGAGTAGTTTTACTTATCATTTACAGCCATGTGTTTAATCACTTGATGTGTTGTTGTCTTTGGAACAGGATATACATTGACACGGTTCCGATTTTTCTCTCCTTGCGCTGAGCTTATCGGGTAGGATCTGCTGCACAAAGAAAGTGTATAATTTCCTGTCTCTGTGAAAGTGTTTCTTGATTGGCCAGTGACTCACAGGGACTTTTGGACCCTGATACTGCTCATTAAGAGCAAGGTGTTATGGGTCAAATATGGAGACCCCTGACTGTGAACAGTAACACTTTATACATGCCATAAAAGGTAAAAACAAGTACAGATGTAATAAAAGCAAAAACACGGTTGTACCTGATAGTGGCTCCCTGCGTTTGACCGGTGGTTCTTCTTCTACTGACTCTTCATCGTCTTCCTGCGAACTGCGGTTTGTTAGCGAGTCCCCTCTGAGTTTGCTCAGACTGACCATTCGTAGGAATGAGGGATGTCTGCGACTGTCTTCTTCATTTTCAGTGGTCAGATCACCTGTAGGTAGACTATCTCTGCGCTCACACTCCTTACGACGGCCTGCCAACCTGAGGAGAGAAGATGCATTAAGGAAAATGTCCTTTCGAATACCTTCACAACAACTGCAGAAAATAACTAGTCTCAGAAATAATGATCTCTGCAACACTGATTCTCAATTGGTTGGTTTCAGGTCTGGTCTGAAAAAAGCAAAAAATGCAAAATGCAAACAATGCCACATAACTAATAATATTCCATATTTACAATCATGCACAATTAGGATGGCAAAATAAATGCAATAAATGGTGGCATTTAACAGTGGGAAGAAATGCATCACATTTCTTTTGTTGTTGATGTCAAGGGCTATGGATGGTTGCTGCCATATCAGCTTCATTGGCTATTACACAGCAGATACAAATGAAACATTCCACACTATAATATCATTAATACACTAAAGATAAAATAATAAAAACAAACATTTTATAAAATTCAACTGTAATAAAGACTAAATTAAGCACAATTAAAAAAAAAAGATTCTTTAAATATCCTTGTAATAAAAATTGTAAACGTTTTTCTGGGTCCATAAATACGTCCTTAAAAATCACTCTCATAACATTATAAATTGGACAGATCAAAAATATATGCTTTATAGACAAGTTGGTGCTACAGTATTGTCAAGGGATGTGGTTAACATGGTTTGTTCCAATGCATTGAATGCATGTTATTGATCTTATTGTGAATGATTCATCCATCCAGCTTATTCATTTTTAATCAAACTGTCACAGCTGGGTCTTCCAGTGACATTAGTCAACAACAGTCTTTTCTCTGGCGATGAATGGTGATTTTAATTGAGAAAACCTTACTATTTGTATATTATTTTGCCTAAAGAATTCATGATTATACTGATACATTCCAGTGTTTGGTTTTAATCATATTTGTGTTTTATTTTAGTATGGGAAAAAATTTGGAAGCATAACCACTGCTACATAATATGCATATTACCATTCTCACCTCAGTAAAGTCATGATCTCCTCTGAGGCTCGTCGATAGTTCTTTTTTTTCTTTCCTGAGGCGGGTGCTGCCGGTAGAGTGGCACTCCGTAGTGAAGGAGTGGCGCCCCACACGTTTCTTCCGGTCATACGCAGGCCCTTGCCTAATTTGCCAAGGGTCTTCAGTGGTGACGAGCCACAGATTCGTTCCAGAGTTCCTCTCTTTTCTTTAGATCCCTCAGTGACCTTTGACCCTCCACGCTGCTCTGCGTTTGCCTCATTCTCCAGTGCTTCGCTCACCTGAGATGATCTCTGGTAGTCTTGTCCATTCTCCCAGACCCTACCTTCTTCATTATTCCACCCCATGCCTGCCCACGCCCCCTCAAATGGATTCAGATCGGATGGTGGTAGAATGAGTTCCCCGTTGCTGTGGTTACTCTTTAGGATGAGTTCACCATTAGTAAGATTACTCTTTTGGAGGTCACCATTGCTGTGGTTACTTTTGATCCTCCTGGGCAGCCTCTTGAGGATGGGCATCCTGTCACTGATTAACTAGAACACAAAACGGACATTGTAACATAGGTCGGAATCAATTATTATCTCATGTAATTGAAAAACATTGGTTGTGAGCATGTCTGAAATACTGCTGCTGTTCATATACAGGTGCATCTCAATAAATTAGAATGTTGTTACTATTAATTTTTTATTACATTTACTTGTTAAATTAATTTAAACAAGATTTTCTTGTATACTGTATCATGTTAGTAAGCATGTCTGAAGTGCACTTTGTGTCCTGCTTAAAGGTAACCAGAGCTAAAAACCGCTTTTTGTCAGGTCTTTCTTAAATGGCTTTGCCTTGTAGCATTCTCATTGTTCAGTATTCCGGTGAGCTGAGTGCATTAACAGCATATGTATGTGTGTGTTCTTTGAGGACATTAGCAGTTTTTAAGCTCCTGTAATGGAAGCTTCCATCCAGATGTGTCAGAATAGTTTCCTGTCCTCAGAGTTTCTCAGAACATACACACTCCTTACTCAAACACAAACACCACACACACACACACACACACACACACTTTCTGCAAAGTCTCTCAGGGGATTAATAAAGTATCTAACAAATTCTACACAATCTGCAATCTACATGTTAAAATGGTCAGTACTTTAGTAGTAACATTAAGAGCATTCCTTGTGCAATTTGAACAAAGATTCCTGAAATATATATTAAGATAAAGAGGTGAAGATAGAGTAGAGAGAGAGCGGGCGAGGGAGGAAGGTGCTGTTGTGTAGCACACAGTGACCCCTGTGATTGTGTTTCAGCATCCCTGCTTTGCATTATTTCTGAGCAGAGTTCCCCTGTTGTGGTGGTTAAAGACCTGGGCTGGGAACCAAAAGGTTCTAGGTTCAAACTCTTTAGTTTCATCAATCACAAGCATCACCATTGTACCCTTCAGCAAGGCATTTGTGTCAGCTGAATGAGTACTTGCATCTTTCACCTAAATCAAACTGACCCATTTGGTTATTTATTGTCTGGATTCCAGGTGGACCTTCTGCAAGTATTTTTGTTCTTACATAATTCCCGGTAAAAGACGGGAAAACATCACTTGTAAATGTTGATGTTTAGAAAGGAACAAGATGTGTATTTCTCTAATAATATGTATGTGTTTAGAGACAGACAAACATTAAACAAACATTAACATATGAAAATCAGCTGTAATGTAGAAACAGGACAAATATAGAAACAGGACTGCCACAGAATCTAATAGTCTGGACCAGTGCTTGATTACATATATAAAGGAAATGAAAGCACAATGAATTGCTAAGTTTTAGCAAGAAAAAAAATGTGCTTCGCAAAGGATTTCACTCAGCATCAGATAAATATCAGATTAACAATTAATTAGTACAATTAACAAGCTAAAAAAAAAAAAAAGCAAGCAAGCAAATTGAATAATGTAAATGATGATTATCCAGGAATAGTAAAGTCAATGTATATGCAGTATGTTTTGAGCTGGAGCGGTTTAATTTGCCAAGCACTAAATGAGGCATTTGGAGTACATTTTGTTATAAATTAACATTTACACTATTAACTGATTAATTAAATTCAGGATCATCAGTACCTAATAATTATTAACTTAATAAAAAATAATAGACTAAAATATTTTTTCACATTATTCATGTCATGTGTTCGAGATCAGATCAGGGAAAAACAGTAAAGTGTATATGAATAACTAATTAAAATTGTCATTAAGAGTTTTAGAAAATAAATAAATAAGTGTGTGCGTGGTTATATGTAATTCATATAAATTTGAATTATTATGGACAGTTATAAAGTTAGTTATATATATATATATATATATATGGTTACTCTTTAGACATTCTACTAGCTATATGTAACTTTGCAACTGCATGTCAACTAACTATATATATGAAATTAATTTCTGTAAAAACCATTCCTGTAATTCAGGTATCATGTGATACATCTTTTTTTTTCCATTTACTGTCCTGTCAAAATATGTTCTTACATACTTTGTAAAGTGACTTTTACTTTTCCTCCTTTTTAAAAAAGGTTTTAATTTAAAATGTTAGTTTTAATTTTGATAACATATTGAAGTACATACACATCTTAATCTGAAACAATCATGTGACTAATTTATCATCTGTATTTAGAGAGAAAACTGTAAAACTAAATTTGACTGATAATACAACTAATAATAAAAATCTAAATATATGTATTGATAATAACCCAAACATACAAGCACAAGGACCTATGCATCGCTTACCTTACGCTGTAGTGGGCAGTCAGCTCAGGGCAAATCCATTCCAGTGTCTGTGAGAGTGATAGAGAACCTATCAGTAAGAGAGGGGCAAAGTGTGTGTGTCTGTCTCCAAGATTTTGGGGCCTTGTATTGGAATGTCGGAGGCAGCCATTCAGTTTGCTACCAGATGATGATGCATTTTCCTGAGGAAAAAGAGACACCCTCCCTAAATAAACAGAAACACACACACACCACTTATATACAGTATATACATACATACACACACACACACAACCAACAAAACATGTAGTTTCAAATACAGTTTTGACAAACAGTGAGCACCTCGACAGTTACTTTTTAATAATCATAATGTTCTTAATGTCAATAACCTTAATCTTAAACAGGTGACATACTAAAACTCTCCTATTAGAAGCGATGGAATTGGCTATTCCTGTAATTCTCATATACGAATGCTTTGCATTTGTCACGAAGATTTAGTTATTGGCAGTTGCTTTATTTCAGAGCTCTTCTGACGGTTACAGATAAAAATGAACAAAAACAATATATGTGTGACTTATAAAAAGTCCGTCCTTGTGCAAGGCACTTAACCCCAGGTTTTGCACCTCAAATTTAAGATTTCATTAGTTTGAAAGCAAAATCCTTACATTCCAGTGAATTTAATGATAGTCACCTCAGCTATTTTTATACACTCCAAAGTAGAAAAAATACTGTCACATGATGTTTCTGTCAATTCATACTTATACACCTGTGATATAAGATGACACCGTATAAAAATATACTTTTAAAGCACAAAGGAGGAACAGGGTTTGGATTCATTTTGTGTAATTGTTCTTGAAAAATCCGAAGAACTCATTTTGGATGCTTTAGGAATGGTATGAAATCGCATGATTTAGCACAAAGCACACTGGCCTCTTGGATAAGTGGTTAAGAACATCCAGTTGACTAGAATGAATCTACTAAAACAGTAGTTCTCAAACAGGGATCTTGTGCCCATTAGGGGGCCTTGGCAAACTTCCAGGGGGGGCTTAAAATCTTAAAAATCAAAGCCTCAAAGTCATTTACATTTATATTAACAGCCTTAATTAAATTCATAAAATAAAACACTAAATAAAAATGTTTAACCAACATCAGTTTTATTACAGTTTATTTTTATTACAACAGAAGTACTAGCGGTACATATCAGGTTAGATATGAGGGCCTTTTAATATCATCTTAGACAAAGGAGGGCTTGGAGTCAAAAAGGTTGAGAACCACTGTACTAGAACATTCTATGACCTGGATAATTAAGAATCTTCACAGACAATTTTTGCATAACCTAAAAAACTAAAACAAATACAACTACTTTCGTATTTTTGCACTGAGCTGTAGAAGCAAAAACACAGACATAAATAGAAGCCACCACCATCAATACCTGCCTTAGTGTCACGTAGACCTAGCTCTTTAGTGTGTATCTAGAGGTGAGAGGCACTAAAATTCGGACAGAAGTGCGTGTGTCTGCCTCTGTATTACTTCTCCCTCTGGTGGACGATACGCTATAGCACACCCAAGCTCAACGAGATGCTCACTTTCACCTGCCATAAACACCACACACAAATTCAAAATAATCGTTACTTTTGTTAAACATTTATTGCATGAAATCTTCAATTTATAAACATGATTAACTTTGACAATATGTCCACATATATAGTGACTACTCGGATTTGGCACTTTCCTGTGATTGTTAACATGTTTTAGTATAGTATTGTGAATTTGTGGGGACAAAGATACCCGAAAACAACCAATATGACCAGATTAAACTTGCATACTGCTAGTTTCACTAATCAATCCTAACCGAGTCAAGCAACCAAGAACCCTGCAAACAAATTAATGCTACTGCATAGATTTACTTGCCAACAGTGATGAGGAATTTTACAACTGAACACTGTTAATATAGCACTCTTATGAGTTTGTAAACAAACACCTACAGTTACAGAGTTGCTAAACTAGTTGGATGCATCATATGTGTGTCCTGAGTCTGTGTTAGGGAGCTCAGTCCAGTGAGCGCAATTATCCAAACTGGATGCAATCACAGTGTCTGATGTGTTGGAAGTTGATGGTTGCCTCTGTGATGATGGATGTTGCCATGGTGATGGGGATAAGTGTGGAGACAGGGATGCTCAGTTCCTTCATTCTGCAGCTCTTCCTGTTTATGGAGACCATGCAGCTTCTGCAACAGCTCACCAATAAAAGCCTGAACACACACACACACACACACATACACACCTTAATCTAGGTGTACACGCATGAAGAAATTGTGCAGAATAAGCATGAAAATATCTGTAAATTTTTGCACATTGCAATTTAGGACAACGTACTGTAAAACTCTGTAAATACTCAAATTACAGTCAAGTGTTCCTGTTACACAAACTAGTTAATTCAAAATACTAATTATATAGTAGATGTAATGTTTGATCATAATCTTGTATAATATTAGGTATGTTCCATAATTAGAGCACATGTTGAAAAACAAAATATAGAAAATATGCTGTAAAATATATAACATGCAGAAATGATCTTCTACTGGTTGTTCAGAGTTAACCAACTAAAACTTAAATATCTTCAGCAGATGTGTATATGTACCAGTCAGCAGTTTTTGTTTACACTATTAGTGGCCATTCACACAGAATGCATTTTTCCATTCCAGTGTTCAACTCTTCTATTGTTTTTCTATGTAAACACAAGCTAGACAAATGTGTTTGACCACTGTGCGCGTCTCGTGTCTTTTGCAGCATCTAATGACACAGCAGTCTAAAAGTTCAAATAAAAGTTAAAATAAGTTAAACCTTTAAAAAAACCCCGCATCTCTCAGAAATGCATTTTTCCCCATTATTCTGGCTGTGTATTGCATGTGTCAAAGCAAAAACGTGTTCTTAATCAAACTGAAAATGTTGAGAATTGTGCCTTGGTATGTCTCAAATGTGAAACCTGATTACGTTTTTCAGATGTTTATGTGTATGAGGTAAATGCCACGTTCCTCTCTACTGATTTTCCATGGTGTCAGCACTTCAACACTAGCTTACCCAGAGGCACACAATCTTCTGCGTATACACGCATAGTAACAATCATGTACATACACTAATCAAAAGGCTGAGAGAGAACATTGTTAAAGAGCCCCAATGAAAGAATGGCTTTGTACTAACTGAGAGAAATAAGGGCATGGGGAAAGAAAGAGAACAAATCATTCATTCATTGTGATCACTGAGAAACGAGTGGAAGGGAGTGTCAGCCACTGCAGCGTTCCTCAGAGAGAGAGGGAGAGAGCGGGAAAGAGGGATGAAGAGGTAGAGTAACAAAAGGATGAGAAAACAAGAGAGGTCCATAGAGGGGTACTAAAGATGAGTAAACAGAAAGATAGAAAAAGAACAAGAAAAACGTTTGGAAAGCAAGTAGGATTTATGGATGAAGGATTGAGAAATGTACCTCAGTACTGCTGGTGCAGGTCTGCAGAAGAACCTGTAAAACAAACGTAAACAAATTCATTCTTGATTGTCATTTTCAATAACTTTATCTAAATGTAATTAAATTAAATTAGCTCAAGTCAATATTACTAAGAGTATTTACAACTCTGTAAACTAATGTGCACGCAGTAGAGAATATAAAGCCTTAAATGGTTCTGTATTGTCATTCAGACAAATGATAGTGTGCTTCATTTCTGAGAAAAAAATGTTGAAAAGGGGGTCCCTGCAAATACCCAGGTCAAGGGACATGGTATAAAAGTTCTGGCATCCACTCATCTTCATCTAAAAGTAGAATGTCAGGCTGCTGACTTCAAGGTCAGCGGTCCTATCTTCTACATGTTATTTTCATGGGAGATACAAACTTTAAAAATGGAAAAAAGAGCCAATATTTTGAATAGATAAATAAATGCATCATCTGAGCACTAATATGTCAGGCAGCAACACAATCAGAAATGTTTACTAAAGTGGTTTTATTCTTCTCTAGAAGGTCTTTTAATTTAATTTTCCTGCCATTTGTGAGATTTTCCCAGTGCATTGGGAAAAACACTTCTATTTCTTTTCTGCATTTCTCCTGCATCTTGTTGCCTAATAAACCTGACATTGTATATTATATGAATATTGTTGGCTCTTTGACAAATAGCTTTTGTCACTCTTTTGTAAGTTACCTTGGACAAAAGCATTAGTTAACGCATAAATGTAAACGTAAATATGGCAAGGCCTAAATACAGGATGTGGTGTGAGCGAGAGAGAAGAGGATTATGGGACCTGTAGTTTGTGTGTTCGCCCTTCATCACTTGGGAGATCCAACAAATCGTCAATGTTCACTTCTTCTGGCATGTCCTCCAAAATAAACAAAACAAAGCAACAAAAATTATTGAGGGTGCTGAAATAATTAACTATTCCAGAAAAGAAACACACACACACATATATATATATATATATATATAACACAAATGAAGATATTTCTGAAATAATCCGAGAGCTTTCAGACTCTTCATAGGCAGCAAGAGTACTACCATAGGCAAGGCACAGAAACGTAGTAAAGACATCATTAAAACAGTCCACGTGACACATCAATGGTTCAACCGTAATTTTACGAAGCTACAAGAATACTTTTTGTGTGCAAAGAAAACAAAAATAACCATTATGGAGAGTATCATGATGCATGCATGTTCTACACCACATGCATGCATCATGATACTCTCCATAATGGTGCTAGGGTGACGCGTAAATAAAATGTGTTTAAATGTGGTAAAAGATGTATTGACAGCCTCAAAGGCACTTACAGTTGACCCTGTGGTGTAGTGGTCAGCAATACAGCAGTAGTCTACAACTGTAGATCCAGGAGCTGGATGAATCTCTTCGTGGTAAGGAGTTTTTGGTTCTTTACCCTGTAAGCAGTCAAAGGAATGTTGTCATGCAATTGAAATGCTGATCTCACAAAGACCTTTCCTCCACGGGCTTCAAACTAGACGACTTGACGAGCAAATAGCTTCTCTGACATGTTATCATTTAAAAACCAACATTTGCGACAAACTCGCGAATTCCTAATAGTTCATGTAATTGACAACTTATTTCATGGTCATCGGCTAGCGACCTTATTCAAAAAAAAAAACCAAAAAAAAGGTTAGCGGGCTTATTCACTATAGCTCCTAACTACTGTAGGCATCAAATGGAAATGTCAGTTAAATCTAACCAAACTGTTCTTAAATAAAGATGTTCTTTCTTAAGTTTACATTACTTCAAAATGGGTGTGCTTGCATTAACGTTACCTGTAGATTAAGCTTCTGCCGTGAATGACTGTTAAGATAGATGTGGAGGACGGTGTGTCGGCCAAAAAAAAAAGGCGGGGGGCTCATCTATCCAACTGTGAGAAAACACACAAACATATAAATTAATTTTCCACTAGAAAAATAAAATAAAAATGTGGCTTAATCACTGCACATTAAATATTGTCTTTGATAAAAACACCGAGGTAATGTCGCGCTGGAGCTTCGTGTCTTTGCTAGCTAACACAAATCAGCACTGCTTTGTTCTTAAAATTAAGTGACATCAGAATAAAACGTTCAAACTTTCAAAAGTAAAATAAATTTAATGAAACAGTTCGCTGTGCTTACCTGTTAATGTTCTTCTCTCAACCGTTCTTCTGATTCTGTGATGATTCCGTCAGCCTTGGGTGATGGGCAGCTGAGACTCAGAAGAAAGGAAATGCGCGGGCTTCCTGTCCGGTGCGTGAAAACGAACGTGGTATTTTTCCATAATCAAAACTAATTACATTAGAAACAAAAATGTAGTGCATCGTAGTGTAACTGATTTGACTGAAATGTACTTTTCATGTTTTTGTATTTATTTCCACTAGAAAAAGGAAAATAAAAGTGTGGCTTAATCACTACACATTAACTATTGTCTTTGATAAAAACACCGAGGTAATGTCGCGTTGGAGCTTCGCGTCTTTGCTAGCTAACACAAATTAGCACTGCTTTGTTCTTAAAATTAAGTGACATCAGAATAAAACGTTCAAACTTTCAAAAGTAAAATACATTTAATGAAACAGTTCGCTGTGCTTACCGGTTAATGTTCTTCTCTCAACCGTTCTTCTGATTCTGTGATGATTCCGTCAGCCTTGGGTGATGGGCAGCTTAGACTTAAAGAAGAAAGGAAATGCGCGGGCTTCCTGTCCGGTGCGTGAAAAAGAACGTGGTATTTTTCCATAATCAAAACTGATTACATTAGAAACAAAAATTTAGTGTATCGTAGTGTAACTGACTTGACGGAAATGTACTTTTCATGTTTTTGTATTTATTTGATTACTAGTTATGTAGATATTTAATTAGTTATGAAAAGTATAAAAGCAAAGATACCTAGGTATTATAAATAATTTATTGCAAAATATATTTTTTAGTTAGTTTATATTATTTTAAAATGGGTATGCTCGGATTACTTGTTGATTAGGTTCCTGTCGAGTGTCGTGTTCGTAGAGGATGGTCTGTCAGTCTCCCCTCTCTAATTAAAAAAAAAACAAAACAAAAAACAAAAAACGCGGAACTCGTGGTGCGAGAATAAGAACGTGGCATTTACATCATTTACCTCACAGAATATAAGATGTAGTCTTTCGATTCTTTATGTATTTTTCTCATATGTATTTATTTGATTAGTTATGGAGTTATTAAATGGGTTATGAAATGTATAAAAGTACAGGCATTAATACAAAAGTAATTTCTTGAAAAATTATATATAAAATAAATTAGAAACCCACCTACTGTTTTTTTTTATCCCTTTTGAATATTAATTAGTTGTTAGCCATAGACATTAACTCGATTAAATAAATTTAACTTAAATCATTGGAGTTAAAGTAACACATAAATTATAAATAAGCAATTCATAACTTATTCAGATTGAGTTGTGCTTAATATAATCAGTTATTGAGTTCACGTAACTCTTTTTTATTAAGTTTAAGTAACTTTTAAAAAAATATACACTGTAAAAAATGACCGTGAATTTAAAAGTAAAAGACTGTAAAAATGCTACAGTAAAAAGGTATATTAACATTATATCAGTTAATGAAATTACGGTATTTAACTGTAAATTTAAGTTAAAACCGTAAAACCTAAAACGTTGCTACCATATTTTTTACAGTAAAATTCCAACAACCACAGCTGCCGGTTTTTTACCATAAATTTTTTACAGTGTAAGTTAGATTAACTTATTTTATTTAGTGAATATCACTGTTAGGTTTTACAATGTAGGCTATATGGGCTCGAACGGCATCCAAAAGCATGGTCGCGATGTAACATTTTCCAGCTAACCAATTATTCCTCTAAACAAAGCTTTTATACCACACTTGTCATAATCAGAGCTTAAAATTTGTAAATAATTAAAAACAGCAATTAAAAGTCACTGTGACCGACACCTGACAA